CTTATTACAATTAAGTATAATGTGCACAGAAGACATTTACATTTTTTAACACCTTGCTTTGCTCCCCAATTAAACAGTCAAACCATGGAGGTCTCTCATTATAAGCCCTTAAATTTAAAGTATAGAGCTGAAGCAATTAGTCAATTAATCAGTAAATCAACAGAAAGTTAATCAGCTACAATTTTGATAATTTATTTATGTTTCATATAATTTTTTCCACCCAAAGTACGAGAGCTTCAGTTTACAAGCTGTTAGCAAGTCAGACAGACAAACCAATTGAATTGAGCTCGGTGTAAGATGATAAATTAATCAGTTTTATGAAATAGTGTTTCATTTTTGTTTATTAAATCTGTGTATTGGCCCAGCCACTGATGATTATGTCCTCGAATTACTCTTCCTGGCTTTGCTGCAGGTTGTTGTCGCTGACACATTTGTCACAGCAGAGCAAAGAGAGATCCTTTTTTTTTTGTTGTTTCATGCTGTATTTTCTTTGCAATTTGAGTCCGTTTCATCCCACTCTGTCTCAGTTTGATTACTGGGTTGAGTGCCTCCAGCCTGTATTTATGCCTTTCTCTCCCCGGAGCCGTTGCTCTTCGTGGCCTCATCTGTCTGCTCATGGGAGCTGGTTGGCCAGTTGCCTCGGCGGTGGGCAACGAGCCCTCGCTAACAGGTTTGACATATCAGCAGCCCCTCTGTCCTCTCCAGGGCTTTCAGCAGCAGCTCACTCTGTGGGTTATTAGTCTGCAGATCACTGGGGAGCCCGGCCCAGGCTGCTCTGGCTTGTGCTGGCTAATTAGCATAGTTTCTAGCTCTGTGGTTTCTTTTGAAAAGGGCAAGAAACCAAGGTTGCAATTACACTTACACTTTGTTTCCTTTGTGTTACAGTTAGTTGACTTCTGCAGTTTGTTTGAAAGCAGTTCACCCACTTACAAACACACATCACAGACTCAAGAGCTTGTTTATTGGTAACATTTGTCTCTTTGAAGTCTAGCAGGAAGAGCAAACCTGAATTTAGTCTGTGTAACTTTACCTCCGATTGATGGACTTGTGTATGCGCATGTTCTAATTTATTGTGAGAGTGAAATAAACGATTTATGCCTTAAAGGTTCAGTGTGTAAGATTTAGTGGCATCTAGTGTCAAGGGTTGTGAATTGCAACCACCTGTCCAGTCTACCACTGCCCCCTAACCTTTCAAAGAGCGTAGGACAGCTACGGTGGCTGACACAGCACAAAAGGTGTCTCTTCTGAGACAGCAGAGCGGCCAGTCAAGAAATGAGGTTTGTTTAGGTAGATTCATTAAGTTAAATTATATTTACTTAATTATTCAGTAAAACCATATGTTATTGTGACTTGGCCACAGACAGATAACATGGAAAATATAAACCAAGAGTGTGAAACACTGTTACTGTTTCTGCACCACAGTCCATTATAAACCACGCATATTAGATAAAGTTTATACTAACATTGACAAGGAGAGATTACGGTGCTTTGATAGCAGCAAAAAATATAAATAAATAAATACTTTGAAATAGATCTGTCATGACGGCAACATTTACTCACATAATGACTTCCTCTTTAGTGGTTTTGCCTACAAAATAAAAGCGCGAGAAGCTTGTTTACTGTAATGCAGCATTTGAGTTGAACTGAGCTTTTACTTTGAAAAATTCTGAACGACATTAAAAGAGTCTGTAGCCTGCTTGACACACCTCTGAAAGAGCCATCAGAAAACATGATTCCCCTAAATGTCCTCTGCCTGGAGATGGTTGATAGATCCTCAGAAATATGGAGCCAATGGTGCCAATAAAACATTACCCAGAGCAAAAGTTCTAAATACCATTGTTATACATTTTTTAGCATTCAGTGCTTGTTTCAGCGTTTCACGTTATATCACGTCACTGTTTGGCTGAGACCCAGGATGATGCTTGCTCACACCTACGGAGCGCGAGTGTCATTAATAACACCTTTAAGGTTTTTAATGCAGGGATTGTACTTTTTCTAGGTAGTATTTTCACAGTGTGGTATTAGTACTTTTACTTAGGTACTCTGGTGATATTTAAGGCTGTGTTGGTGTTGTATTTCTTCATTTACACAACTGAGCTTGGTGTATCAGTGGTCAGTCACGCAGCCTCACAGCAAGAAGGTCCATTAGGGCCGAATGAGCACCAGATAAAATTAACCAGCATTCACTGCAGTGGAAAGGAAAACGACAAAGTGAACAAGTCAGAGTGGAGTTTGTGTCTGTATTATACATCACCCTGCATGTGAGCATCTTTCTGAGGTCACATCTCTGCACTCGACCCTCGGGGGTCGCCAGAGAGCGGCATCCCTTCCATCTCCATCATCAGTGACCTTTGACCTCCTCTTTTGCGCTGTTAGAAAAGCCGAAAGGCCGGGCGCTGCCGATGAGCTGAGCTCTGTTGCCATCAGGGCCTCAGTCCTTCCTCTTTAGTCTCATAGCTGAATCCTCTTCAGAAGTGGAGTCATTCAAAGTGAAACCTTTTATCAACACCAAGCACACACTGAGAGCAAGGTTGAACTGTTCACAAAAACAAAATATACAGAAAGGGCTTTATAAAAGCTTGGTAAATGTTCAGGAATTGCTCAGTGGATTTAATCCACTTTGTAGTTAAAAGAAAAAGTTGATCCTCTGTGCACTTAAAATTATTATTTAAAAATGGATGTGTTTACAATAATCTTCTCATACGAGACTGAAGATAGGCATTTATATCCAGATACTAGGAAGAAGGATTTGAGGTTAGCGAGGTAACTTCATGGTTTTCAGTCCTACGACAGTGGTTCACGGGCAGGGGTGGAAATTAACTTGTTTTTTCACCTGCCAGTGGGACTGGTGGATGAAAAAATCCACCGACCAAACATATTTTTTACCGACCAAAATAATAAATTGCCTTTTTGGGTCATGCGTACATTTGTTTCAGTCCTTTTACTTGAGATAATAAAGTATTATGTCGAATACAAAAGAAGAGGCCGGAGTGCAATTTGAAGCAAAATTACATTAATGCTATTAAATGTACTTAAGACAACAAGTATATTGTTTCTTAACGTAAATCTCATCACTGCTCACTCTTAATCATGCTTTATCATTCAGCTTTAACCTTCCAATTTACCAATTTAAGTGCGACATACAACCTGCAAGAACGCCGGCCTGCTGCTAATTAGCCTTCACACATTTACCCGCGTTTGGCACTTGGCAGTTGTTAATTTCCACACCTGTTCACAGGGCTGCAGGTTACAAATATTCCTATCTGGTTATGCTTTCTAACAGCATTCTATCAGCATACTGCAACATCCATTTTTGCATGCTCGTTATCACACTGCAGCCTCAACCCAACACAGGAGGAACATCTGAGGTTTTCTAATCAGTGTGATCTGCAAATGTCTGCATGAAGTGAAATTTTACAGATCTAATCTAAACCACTCAGAAAACAGATCATGTGGCACGCAGCCAACACATGGCGGGTGTGTGAACGTTTTAAAATGTGACCTTCATTGGTCAGACAGTTGTGGTAATTTTGACGTATTTTGCATTGGAGGGACAGTGATGAGATACAACAAGGGAAATGATAGTAAAATAGTGACTTTGTGTGGGATTTTAGTAGAGGAACAAATACAGACGGTATAACCAAGATGTTGTGGGAAAAGTGTTGGGCTACTTTTAATTGATTACAATTGATTACAGCATAACAGATTCAGCATTGAACAGAAAACTGCACCTTGTGTTTTTTTTTAATCACATTATGACAAGGAAAATATTATTATGGAAAAAGTTTTTACCTCTAATTGGCTTACACTGATGACCGCTTGAGTAATTTCACATTCCTGACTGCTCTGCTCAATATCCTTAATCTATTATAATCAATTTATTATGGGCTATCTTGATTTATGGAGAATTTAAGCCGTGTAAAATACATCACAGGAGCAGACATATTTTCTTATTTAAGCCTTGTAGTCCAATTTGCTTGTACTGCTATCCAGCAGGGGGGAAAGCGTGATTGTGAAAACATGAAATGTATTAATCATTAACACAGTGGTCCTTAAACTAGGCAGTTGAACCAGATTCACATGGGATCAATAAAAAGCTGAGCTCTGATGCTTTCAAGGTGAATCAGGTTTGCAAGATTAATTGCTTAACGACACAGTATGTAAAGTACAAGATGGAAAAAACAATATTATTCATAAATAATAATAATTATAAATAATAATAAATTTATATATTCATCTTGAGACAGTCTTATTTATTTATTTCAGGTTTATTTACCAGGGAATATACACACACGAATAATACATAAATAAATGTGTAGTGTGCCAGAATTAGCCAAAAGGCTATTTTACATCTGCTGTCCCTGGACAAAAAAATTAAAAGGATTAAGATAGTACATACAGGTTAATACAAGAAAAAAATTACTATGAATTTATAAACAAATTACTAACCAACATATAAACCCCTCATATCAACAACACCACCTACACACACATACACACACACACAAGCCAAACTGTCGGTCCGTATAACAAACGTTTTTTGGATATGCACCAAAACCAATATAGCTGGGACAATCTAAACACAAATGAGCCAGACAACCTCAGAGGCATAGCACAAGAAGCACAAGCAGGCAGGACAGAGAAGACAAGGTAGCTTCGAGATTTCATGTCAAATGTGATGTTGACAGTCCTGACTACCTGTTAGCCACTTCTTTAAGTTAAATTAAATAGAAGCGCAAATTCCTAATGTGAATTGGGATGAGGTTCCATTCACGTTTGTCTGAGGGCACTTTTCCTCAACGGGACAATGCAGTCACCTCTTGCTGCACTCCTTGTAGATCTGTAAGCATTTGGTGCTGCGTTTACAAAATTGCTCTTATGAACTTATGAAAAAGAAGAATTTTCAGAATCACTGATTTAAACAAAAGAGCTGTTGATTAAAAATGTTTTTCCTTTAACCTAAAAATCCTCAAACCTTCCTCGCTTTGTTTTTCCTCCAGGTGAGGTGAAGATGGTGGACCGGCTTGCGAACAGCGAGGCCAACTCCAAGCGGATTGCGGTGGTGGAGGGCTGCTTTGGCGCTGCCGGCCAGCCGCTGGCCATCCCCGGGCGCGTGCTGATCGGCGAGGGCGTCCTCACCAAACTCTGCCGCAAGAAGCCCAAGGCGCGCCAGTTCTTCCTCTTCAACGACATCCTGGTCTACGGCAACATCGTCATCCAGAAGAAGAAGTACAACAAGCAGCACATCATCCCGCTGGAGAGCGTCACCATCGACACGGTGCCGGACGAAGGCGACCTGCGCAACGGCTGGCTCATCAAGACTCCCACCAAGTCCTTCGCCGTCTATGCTGCCACCGCCACAGAGAAGTCAGAGTGGATGAACCACATAGGGAAGTGCGTGGGAGACTTGCTGCAGAAGAGCGGCAAGGCCCCGACGGGCGAGCATGCGGCCGTCTGGGTGCCCGACTCGGAGGCGACCGTGTGCATGCGCTGCCAGAAGGTGAAGTTTACGCCGGTCAGCCGCCGCCACCACTGCAGGAAGTGCGGCTTCGTGGTTTGCGGGCCGTGCTCAGAGAAGAAATACCTCCTGCCCAGCCAGTCGTCCAAACCCGTCCGTGTCTGCGAGTACTGCTTCGTGCAGCTGACGTCAGAAGGCCTCGCGCCGCGTTCAGACTCCATCGGTCGCCTGGGGTCAAAGTTCAACAACATGTCGGACGATGACGACGAAGAAGACAGCAGTGACTGAGGATCGTAACGTCCTCCCGGTGGCCTGCCTCGTCCCACGTCAAGGAGGTTTCTTTCTCCTCCCAGATGATCGAATCATGCTCCACCGTGAGATGAATTCCACCTCCGAGGATTAATTCAGTTTCTATATCAAACCAAAATATTTTCTTTTTTTTTTTCTCTAATTCCAGCAGGGATAAATATTTTCCTGAACACAGTGATTTAAAGAATGAAATGTGGAATTAACTGGGTGACCAGCAGGATTTCGAGGAAACGTTGTGACTCTTCATGGCTTCCACTTTGCTCAGTCCGCCCCCTAATCTCGTCACCCTTAATTAGACTGCAATTAGTCACTACAGAACACAATGGTGCTGATGAGAAACACCCCCTTCCCTCTGCTGAAGTTCATTTCATCTGAGAGGCTTTTGTTAATCCACTCTTTTTCTTTTTTCTTTTATGGCCGTGAACTACACAAGGTGATTGCTTGTAATTTCTGCAGGGAAAAGCAAATGTTTGGGCTCTAACCTTTTATGTCCTCTGTCCTTCAGGTATAGCAACAAACAGGGCTTTTTTTGTAATAGAAGTTTGATCACCAGCAAAATGTGGAGCTAAAGCAAATATCCCTTTTCATAAACAACAAAATGTTGATGTCACGCTTTTCTAGTTGACCTAATATAGTTTCTTCTGACACAGTGAGTTTGTGTGGTTCGCTAAGCGTCCGCTCTAAAAGCTAACTCTTCCCATCACCTATACTGTCACGTAGTGCCTTGTAGAACACTTGAGCTCAGCCTTCAGTAAGAAAAAGGTTATTTGTTAATGAATCCAGACTGCTATAAAACAGGGGCTTCATGATAGTTTTACTCTGAAACGCATTACACAGGATGGAGTTGTTGCTTGGTTTTTTGAGTGTGTGCTGTAAACAGAAGAGAGGGGAGGTTACTGGCCGTCCGACAGACAGGGAGAGCTCAATTAGGACTTTTCCTGAAGAGTTTTTGTTTTACCAGACAAAAACACTTAAACCTATCGCTCTAGAAAGAGAATATGTTTGAGCGTTTTCTAGATTTTTCAGTTTGAGCTTCCTGAACCTGGCCTCCATGTGTCCACTTACATACCAGAAAGTTTATATGAGTTTATATAAGTCTGTTTTGCAGGCGAGTGAAGTTCAGAACAATGGAAGAAGTGGGGCGATCTCCCTCTCTGCTTCGAACTGCTTGTCACAAGGCAAGGAGGTGATGGTGAAGAAACCAGGGGTAGAACAGACTGCAGGAAGCCCAGCGGTCATTTATTAGAGATTTTGTTTTCCTCAAGATGAAATGAGTTATAGCGTTAGCAGAGTTATTATTCTCCAAAGATACATGTAAACATTGTAAATGTTAGTGGGAAATGTAATTAAATTAGGAAAGTCCTCCCCAGCAAGGCTGTAAAACCCACATCCTGAATCAGAATATAGTGGCTGCTCGTTTTAAGTTCCGGCTCGTAAAGTTCTTCTAGTGGAGGAGGCCTAAATGTAGAAGCTGGAAGTTTCCTCCTCCGTCACGGATGGAAACTCCCACAAATTTTGTTTGCAGGTTAGATGGATTCATGAAATTTTGGCTGGAGCTGTGATTTAATGTCTCATTTAAGTTTGGATCAGGAATCATGTAATGCTTCAGATAGATTCAGGGATCAGCAGCTAAGGTGCTCTCAAACACTGACATTCCAGTGGAATGAGTGACGTGAAATGCAATAAAAAGGAAGTCTTAGGGCCTGCTTGTGTTTTCTTTTTAAAATCACATGATCTTGTCTTGCATCATAGTTTGTGTAATAACTTGCGCAGTAGTTTAGGTAATTGGCATTTACTGGAAAATAAATAGTCAGGAAATCATTGCATCGTCTTCCTGTCAGCGACGCTTCCCTGCGCTGCTCTGAGGTCACAGGGCCACAAAACAAACGCACCCTTTTCTGAACTGTGCTCCTCCCGCCTGCTGGAACTTTCTCTCCACGGTCGGCGCTAACACAAGCGAACGTGGCCGTGCGTGCCCTCCTTCCTTTTCTCGTGTCCTCTTCTCTCTTCTTTCCCTTTTTGTTTTCATAAGCAGAACTTTCCTCTGAAAAGCACAGTCTACTGATCATGTGACATGTTTGTGTCCTAAATCATGTGATCAGACACTGAACCAGGAAGTGAAAAGGCAGGGGAATTAGTAGTGAACTGCAGAGCGTTCAGGTTCAGTTACTCACAGATGTTCAAGTCATCAGTTTCAGCCGGAGTTTCTCTTCCCAGTGACTCGTGAAGGGTTTCATTCCTGCGGGCCGGATGACTCATCTCACACTGACCTATATTCCTGAAGTTTCAAAAATGTGATCAGTCTTTACAAGTGGGCACGGGTCGTTTTGGGAGCCAAAAACATTTTTAACAAATTAGCAAATGATTAAATTAGTTTTCAGTTAATTTTCTTCCCAGGAAGGCATTTTAAAGGGCTTCGCAGGTCCATTTAGTTCCGAGACAAGGCCTAGGACTCTGATACTACTGGGACAATCAGTCCTGGTCCAAATTATATTCAGTTTGATTGGGTCAAGAAGGGTCCTGTGGTCTCACTGCATGTCGCAAAGGGCAATACACACCAGCAGCATCTTTAAGGCGTCAAATCTGCACCGTACCCTGACGCGCACCTCCCCTAAATATGTAACTATACGTTGCAGTTATTGGTAGGCTTGGTAGCATCGCATTTCCTCCTTCTGCCTCCATCGGTTCAAGGGTCGTACACACCATCTCCTCCGACGCCTTCTCTTGGATCTGTGTTTAGTAATTACACTAAAAGTAACTGCTCCGCTCAGCTTCAACTCCAACTCCAACATGATCCGCTCAGTTTCAGTCGTCATTGTTTGTAGTAGCCTACTCCAACGCAGAAGAAGAAGAAAGTCAACACAGTGGAACATAGATACCCCACCGCCAGCCAACGTTTTGGTGTTGTAATTGCAGAGCCTACACTCGACGCAGATATATAAATCGGCCTTAATGTGCGTCATCGTTGCACCTCAACTCTCAAAAAATATTTGCTCTCTTGATGGACACATCCAGCTACTGTACAGCACAGCTGGTGTGGGATGCGTTCATCAAATGGCACCTGTCAAATTATAAAATAAAGGTTGTCACACCCTCTTTACTCCCTGTTTACCAAATTTCTGCTCTTTAAACGGCACTTTGAAAAGTAAAAGTGCTTCCTGCTAACAGTTCCACCATGTAAGGTATCACATTTTTGTAGATGCAAAAATAAACAGGCGTGTGACACAAGAGGGAGTGTATGAAATCTCAATTTACTGCTCAACAGTGTATAATTTTATTGTAAAGGGAGAAGTGAACAAGGGAATGATTTCAGTTCTGGTCTACAGCAGGTGTGTCGCAACAGCTGCAGTTCTCCGTCCTCGTGTAATTTGAATACATTCAAGCACCTGTGAACTGAACTCGAAAGTTCTTTAATAAAGCAGTTTGTGTTGCTGCGAGATATGATCTGTTCCTCAGGCCGGTGTTGGCCGTTACGATCCTCAGATTCAGATCTCCGTTCCCGTCAGACGTCCATGAAACACACAACTGAAACACTTCTGTGCAGACAGCCGGTCATACCTGACTGGATCCGCTCTGATCATGTGGGGTGTCTTTTCATCACAGGAGGAAAACGTGTCATTTGAGGCAGACGGAGAGTGATCCGCATCCTGATGCTGCTGGTGTTCTTGCTCTGTTTTGGGTTTGTTGGACCAGGTCTGACAGATCAGATCTCTTCTCAAATGAATGTGCGTTTTTTTTTTTTTTTTTTTTTTAGTTTCCACTGTCAGAGGTCATTTTAACGTTTTTGGACCCATTAAGCCCTTTGTTAATTAAAACTGAGGAGCTGAAGTGCTTCAGGAACAGCTCAGATGTTGGAATGAAACTCTTCAGAGAGTTGCTTTAAAATACAAAACAGTAAAAGTGATGAGATGTCTCTGAGTTCATCACTGGAAACAGGAACCATGTTATTTCACCTTTACCTGAGATCAACCAGGGAAACAAAACAAGTTGTAGCTGCATCATAACAGAAGCTGAACAGCTCAACCTTTACATGTGGCACTCCCACAAGTGTCTCCAGATGTTTATCTACATTTTGACTGCAAACAGTTGGAGCATTATCTTTGTACACAGTCTGTTATTTCACATGTTTGATGAGGTCGCAGTGGCGAGCGACGCCTCGTCTGAACTGCACCTCAAAGCAGCAGAACAGGGAGAAGAAAGGGATCGTTTTCTTTTTATGTCGTTTGATTTTTACAGATTTAAGTTTAAGGTTTGTGCTGCTGCAGTAAAGCAACCTAAGTGATTAGAGAAAAAAAGAACACGGTAATGATCACTAACCAGCTGTCCTTTATTACTCACTGTGGTCGAGGTGGTGCTGATGGAGGAGACGACTCCACCGTCAAAACGCAGAAGCACAAAGTCCGGCCTCAGGTTTGCTGTGGATTGCACTTAACAAAGCTGGCACACTGACTTTGATCCAGGTTGAGTGATTACTTCATACGGTCGCGTCGGCAGTGAGTCTGATGGATGTGTTAAAATGAACCCTCATGTTTTAATCCTGTTGATTTATTTTGTACAGATGTGCTTTGGGTTATTTGATTTTGTTGTATAGTTAAGATCAGTTCTGAAATGACGCTGTTTCAGGTCTCCCTGTGCTCAGACACCTTCCTCCTCCTCCTCCTCCTCCTCATGTCAGTCACATCTCAGCAGCATCTGCAGCCGTTTCAAAGTGAAGTCACCACTGATGTTTACCAGCCAACCACATCCGTGTTTGAATGATCCCTGTTCCTCAGGCAGGGTTGCAGGTTTGCACTCCTCCTGTTGACAAAGTCGGTGTGTTTACATGCACTTAAGTAACCAGGTTACTGGCGAACTTTCTCCAGTAAGCTCATTAAACGTCATGTGAACAAGAACTGGTTTCTGTATTCAGGGCAGGGGAGAGGAGAAACCTGAGACCCCCAGGCAGAATTCACCTGGAGAAAACCAGTTTTCTATTCGTCTTTTTACAGGTATGCATGTGCAAGGACAAAGACTTCAGACAGGGAAAGCCTCTGGACGTCTGAATAAGTCATTTCCCCTGCTAAACATTTGACTTTTTGTCAAATTCAGACACTTTGGAGCTCTGTCCTCACACGGCATCCTCAGCCTGCTCTGACTCAGGAACACACACCAAAAAATAAAGCAAAAATCCAAAATGTGCCTGTAGTAGTAAACTGGTTTCTCCGAGTACACCTGTTTTCTGAAGTGCACCTAAACGCATCGTTGGTCTCTCCTGCTGCAGCCTGAAAGAGAAAAATAAAAAAAAAACTCAAGTCTGTCAGCTGGTAGACAAACAGAAACTGAATCTCACACATTCCTGACGTTTTCCAGCAACTCGTCCAGCTGTTAGTTTGTTCACGCTGTGAGCAGCACGCTTTACAGGAGGATCTGTTCGGGCTTTTGAATATATTAACAAGATTAGGAAAATGTAAACAAATCATAAATGCAATGGCTTTGATTTTTGTCGCTGTTCGGAGGACTTTCCTCATCACCTCCTTAAGTTTTGAAATCACCTTGTTCACAGGATGTTTCCCAAGTATTTGCATTCAGGTGCAAAGTAAGTACACATTTAACTAGTGCACCAGTGCTACTGTAGGTTAAGAAACAGGTTCACACCAGACACTTTCTTCTTGTTAGCCGCTGTTCATCACTACCTTTAAGCCGTTAAACACATTTAGTGTGTTTCCTTATGACAGATAAATGGAAGTTAAGTTATAAATTGTTGCTTGCACGGCTTGCTTGTGATGCTTTTTTGCAATCTGTCACTGTTTCTACCCCTTCAGTCCAGTGCAGATATGTTTTCTGTCTTTCCAATACCCAGCATAACCCTCTAAGACTCTTTAGGTCCAGCTTTCGTCACATTGTGGTGTTATAACACAGTGACACATGCATTTACGGCTCTGTTTAATGTCCTGAGTGTTTCTGAATTAACCAGATAATGAGGATCACTCTGAATGGGCTACACAGTCAATTTCAACACGTTATCATGTTAGAAATAGTAGTTTGACCCCCCAAAAAGGTTCACTTACTAGTTTTTCTAGAGCTCTCAACCCCATCTCTCAATCAGAAGTATCTGTGAGAGAGCCATCTGCTGAGAAATGCTAAGTCCTGCTTGTTGAAAGCTCCAGAAGAACCCTGGAAGTGGACCTTGAGTCAGCTGTCGCTCATAGTCTGAACACGCAGCTGCAGGTTAGTGAGACTAGACTGCGTTTTCAGGTGTGACTTAATTAAAGAAAAGCTGCAGATCCTGAGATTTAAAAACACAAAAAAAAACTGCTGAGGATACAAAATCATGAGAGGAGACATCTTGGGAGGAGAGGTCATCATGTTTTGGTTTTGTTGTGCGAGCCTGTCTCGTGTTTTTTTTTAAAGCTCTCGCTATGTGACGGTGTTTTGTTTTTTTTTAGTTTTTGTTGTAGTTCTTTTTCTTTGCGGGGGAAAGGGTCATATTAATTATTTTTAAAAGCTTCTAAAAAGGGCTTCAATCAGAATGTAACCCAGCATATAATTGTACAATACTAATTCATTCAGAAACCTTTGAGTATATATTATATATAAATAATGTATTGCTTAAAGCCGGACTGCTGTCTTGTGTTGATTTATTTCAATTACAAATACGGGGTTGTCGTCATTAGGAAGATTCTCACTGGTGTCAAATAAACCTGGGACCTTTATATGTAGATCATAGGTGTCATTTACAAGGTACATTTATTTGTCACGTTACAGGTTGTAAAGTGAAATGGAGTTTATAACTCCCTTCTGCTACGTAGCAGACAATATACATTAATACAAAGGTAATTATATACAGAAATAATCAAGCATCAATGGAGCAGTGCTGAGGATGAATTGGAGTTTAAGAGTCTGATAGCTTGGGGTAAAAAAACTCCTCTGCAGTCTGGTGGTGCGGCAGCAGAAACTTCTATATTTCTTCCCAGAAGGCAGCAGGGCGAACAGGCTGTGGCTGGGTGGGTTACTGTACTTTAGGATCCTTTGGGCTCTGCAGGCACCTCACCGATATCACTGATGCTCGGGAGATGGGTACCAATGATCTCCTGAGCAGTTTTAGTCACCTGCTGCGTAGCCCTCCGGTCCTGGGCCGTGCACATCCCATACCAGTTAGTGATGTTTCCAAGCTGACAAGAACTTGGCACGGGAATTTGGCCTTCTTAAGCTTCCTCAAGAAATACAGTCGTTTCTGAGCTTTCTTCACCAGCGTGGAGATGTGAGACGACCATGTCAGGTTCTCTGTGATGTTGTTCACCTGCTCCTCCTCAGCACCACTGATGTAGACAGGAGTGTGTGTCTTTATCTCCTGACACTGAGGACGCTGATTTTGTCCCATCACTTTTTTAAAAGCATTTGTTAAAAATGGCTTGCTGCAAGAAATGTAAACTAACAAATGAAAATGCTTTGAGGTTTATTTGAGAATAAGAAAACATGCAAATAATATGATAGAAGAAACAAAAATGTGCATTGCAGCTGAGGATTATTCAGTGTGATTTGATAATGTGCATTAAAATCAACATCACAGCAGCAGACATTTTGTTGCTTTATTTAAGAAACTGTGAAGGAATCAGGCCTGCGGGCTTCAAATGAAAGTCATTCATTAAAATTGCAGCAGCAGTTTTAACGAAATTTAAAAGAGGAAAAAAAGAAAAACATCTTCATTAGAAACAAATCCCAGTGAGATTATAGGTGATGTAATTGTGTCACATGATAATGAATATATTACCATATTTAAAGACACTTCGAACAAACTTCATCAAACCAAATCCCAAAGGTGTTAAATATTAATCTTATATCAATCATGTGAAGTCAAGGTTATCAGATACTTCATCAGTCCACTCCTGGACACGTGCTGATGGAGGCGCCGCTCAGTAGAAGGTCATTTTCTGTTTGGTTTTTTTTAGGCTTTGTTCCCTGATAATACATGTAATTACAGACCGCACATCTGTCAGCGGGTTTATTCTTGAATGTTAATAAGATAAATTATAAAGCGGCGCCATGAAGTGTGGCCGTGCTTACAGTAATAGTCTTGATTGAATATCCACTGTTGTTCCACAAGTTGAGACGCAAACAGAGTAGAGGAAACTAATTAGGCCTCATTTACTCAAGTACAGCACCTAAGTACAACTCTAAGGTTTCTATTTTTACATTACTTTCTACAGTTCAGAGGGAAATACTGAACTTTTACTACATTCATCTAAGAGTTAAACTCTCTTGTTACTTTGCAGATTTAAAAACCTAAAGTAAGCCTAGAAAAATAAAAATGCAGCTTTATCTAGTACATAAAATACTCAACAATATGTAGATTCATAAATTTAACAACAATGACACAACAAATACTGAAGTACATATACTCAGGTACTGTACCTAAGTACAATTCTGAGGTACTTCGTATAGTATAGTAGTATTATGAGCATATAAAACACCAGGTACTTTTATACAGTAAATTAAAACACCCAACAATGGATCAAATGAATAAAATTAACTCAAACGCAGCCAGCTACAGTATTGAAATCCTGCTTACATGTTGCATATTGAGTACTTTTATACTTACTACTACTACTTGAGTGAGCTTCAGAATGTAGACTGACTTTCACTTGTAACTGAGTATTTCTATATTTTGGTATTGCTTCCTTTACTTAAGAAAAATGTCTGAATATTTCTTCCACACTGATTTACGCTAATGTTTTTAAAAACATCCATAAAGTTATCTACTTAAAAATATATTTATTAATTAACTACAGTGGTATGTTGCTTTTAGTTTTTTTTTGACAGTAACTTGGCCACAGTGGTAAGGAACAATTCAGAAAGTTACTTAAGTAAATATACTATCAGGAAAATGTCCCTGTGCCTGTTGCATTATTATATATTCTATCATCAGATTATTATTCCTCATGTATTAATGTAAATGCAGGATTTACCTGCTGGAGTTGTTGAGCTGGAGCTCATTCTGAACTGTATTGGACTGCAATTAATTATTATTTTCATTATGGATCAATCTGCCGATTAGTTCCTCCATTAATCAATTGATTGTTTAATTCGTAATTGTCAAGATTCTGCTGTCACAGTTACCCAGGGCCCAAAGTGACACCTTCACAACGCTTGTTGTGTTCAACCAACAGTTCAAACCTCAACATTAACAATAAATTAACATTGATAAAATAATTTAAAGGAAAATCTTCACATGTGACAAGCTGGAACCATCAAATGTTTTACATGAAAAATAACTTCAACAATCAAAAAAGTTGCCAATTAGCTGTTAGGTTTTGTTATAAATAGAACTACCCATTTTTTTTATAAACTCAATGTGTTTTGTGTGTAACAATCTATATTTGTAAAGTAACTAAAGCTATAAGATAAATGTAGTGAAGTAAAAAGTACAATATTTCCCTCAGAGTAGTCAAGTAGAAAGTGGCATAAAAGAAACTTACCTCAAATTTGTACTTAAGTTCAGTACTTGAGTAATGCACTAAGCTACACAGACCACAGCTAGTTCTAGAAGAGATGTTAGGGTGCTGTGTGTTCTCCTGCCTGGCTGCAGCTCCACTCTCAGGCCTGCAGGTGGCGAAACTGCGCCTAGAAGCTGATCCACCAAGCGCCAATAAAACGCAACGTAGAAGAAGAATGAAGCAACAGCTGGCTTCTCCAATAAGTTGGCGCGTTAAAGAAACGGAAGATTTGACAATATTCGCAATATATAAACAAGCAAATGAAGAAACAGCCAGACATGGAGGGTAAAAATGAAGAGTTTAAGAACAAGTCTTTTGTTATAGACTGCCTGTTAACGTTACTCTGGAACTGATGCTGAAGCTAAACAACTCACCTGTCGTACCTGCTAGCTAACGGCTAGCTTAACTAGCGGTAACAGCGAGCTAGTCGGTAACCTGAGACTGAACCATAGTGGCAGCTGGATCACACCTGATCAGTGCGCTGGAGTCATGGATCGATAATTGAGCTCACCTGGATTAAGGTAAGACACCTGTTAATGTTTACTGTTGGTTTTATGAGACTTTTGTCATAATGTGATCAACACCATAAGCATGAATGTAACTCATTTAAGTTAACGTTACTCAAAGCAGTTAATTTTATCTACAATTTTGAGGTACTTAAGTATATATAACTTATTGATCTCGAATTTGTGCTACTTTATAACGTTACTTCTAACTGTAAAGTTTCTCCCCTACTTTTCAGAGGGAAATGGCTGTTCTATTTCACTTAATTTGTCTAACTGCTGCAATGATAATATAAATATAATAATCTTTATTTATAGAGCACTTTTCAAAACAATGTTAAGTGCTTTCACAAGAGCAAAGACAATAAAACACGTAAAACAAATATCAAGTTAAAATGAGGAAGGAAAAAAAGAGGATCAGGGAAAGGCTCTCCTATACAAGAATGTTGTAAGAATGGACTTAAGTTCACTGATAGTTACTTAAAAACAAAAATACATGATGATTATGCTGCATTGTTGTAGATAAAAGTCCCCACATACTGAAAACGCAGGTGTTCCTACTCAGGTAGGAGTTGTGGGTAGGGCTGGGCAATAATGATAATTATCGCAATATAATTTTCCTCAAAAACAACATGAACATATGAATATGAACAAATATTCTATAAATGTTTGATTTAATTAATTTAAATAACAAACAAATTAGCACAAAGATTTATTTTGTTGAGGAAAAGGGACTGAAAAAATATATTTCTTAATTTTACTTATACTGTTTAAAAGAAGCTGTTGAACAGGAATTATTTTTAAAGATTGTGAGGAAATTGTGTGGTATGTGTGCATTTGCTGCTGCTGATAAAATCAACTCAGTGTTTATTATGCAGCGTGCTTCTAAAGTGAAATATTTTTTCTATAGGAACAGACTTGAATCTGGGAAAGGAGAGTTTTAAATCTGGGTTATATCTCTGCAAGATGTCTTTGCAAGAAGACACTCCGCAGGAGGGACGTCCCGATCACGTTTTTTGGCTTCGTGTTTAATCAGAAACTTAATATTTGCCTATCTGTCTATTTTAAATGTGGATCTGGCATTTTGAAAAAAGTGCTGAAGCTACTAAATCTGACAAGAACTACTTAATCCAAATACTGAAGCTCCTCTTTCAAAAAATATAACTTTATAAGCTTAAATGATCTGATATAAATGAAAGATTAACTGGAAGATTTAATACCGTGTCTGGTTTGTCTGTCCTGCTCTATCTGCCTCAGACGATCGCTCTCGATGATATGTGGTGATATTTTAAATAACTTCTACGCATCTATAAATGGAGAAACATGAGACGGAAGATTATTTTTCTCTGTTGGCTTCCGTAAGTTCAAATTGTCTGCAGTGTGACTGAGAGCGATGGGTAATCAAAGCGAGCAGTGGCCATTAGTAAGCTGATAATGGAGGATAATGACGGTAATCATAGTGGTTATTTTAGAGAGACACTAATCCTACAATACATCAGAGCTGGAAGATGATGCTCGGTGTCAGATGGAGGCTACAGGCTCCGATTAACAGCCTGCAGCTATATAGTTCTAAAAATACCAAATCATAGTTTAGTTTTTAATCAATTTATTGGAAGCTACGGC